TTTCTTTTTTTTGTGAGAGTTCAGAAGTGTGTAGCTGTGCATTGGCTTCTAATTCTTCGTGGCGAAAATTTGTTTTAGCTGTAGCAATCCAAATCAGGTGTTCTCTATATTTTACTTTTAACCTGAAGCCACTGGGGATAGTAAGTAAGTACATTTCATACCCACTGTGAGTTTATCTTATCAATTGTCTTTACACATAGATGGCTCCGCAAGTAGCTTGTCACCAATGAGCCAGTTACCAGGACTATCACTTATTTGCTTTTTTCCTTGATTTTGAAAATCTCTTTTATCTTCCATTGCTGTTAATAAAGTAAAAAACATTATGATAATTATCATGTCTTTGGTAATGATAATAAATTGATATTGATGGTATTAGTTATAAAAGCAAAAAAACAAGAAAAACTAAAAGTTCAAGGGAAGGTGGAATCAGGTGAGGTTACGAGATCTGCTAATTGACTCCTTGGTGGCTAAGCACTTGTAGAGCAATCTATTTGTAGGGACATTTCTCAAAACAATACTTGTACTTCAGTGAACACTACATTTTTCTGGTGTCATTGGATTAAGCAACATATTTTTCACTTTGGGGGGTTCCCATCTATCTAATGTAGATACACACCAAAAAAGTCTGCAGTATTAATGAACACCTATTGTAAATAAAATAAAACAATGAAATGTAATCATTGTTACTGAATATTTCTCGTCACATGTGATGATTACTGTTAGGATTTTGACATTTTCATAGATATTTTTACAATTCTGAATAATTGTTTTTGCTCCTCATTATGCTTGTAATAGATTTGAGATTAGGCTTTGCCACTAAAAGTATTCTTGTTGGTTTGGCAAACATTTAATGTGATAAGGATCTGATTCGTTGTTATTACTTTTATTTTTAGAAAACAAGTAAATATTTACAAAAATATTTAATCTCATGATCCAAGTGTATCTATATTTTAAAAAAGATTCTCATGTCATGGAAATTAAGGTCTCTGATACACAAGGATAATAGAAAAGAAAAAACAGGAAAAAATGGTGGGAAGATGATATATATAATATAAGAAAATGTATTTTGGTTGGTATTTTTCCTTGTTTAGTTACCCTATTTTTTTTCCACAAAAAGGGAAATATTAATACATACATTACGTTATAGTTTAGGAAAATGCTTATTTTCAACTTTATCTCTTGTTATTAATTTATACTATTTTCAAATAAATGTTACCTTTTAATGTAAAAATGGAGAAGATCATACATATATAAGGTCTTTCTGCAACCACAAAGGGTTACCTATACAGTGTCTGTGTGCTTCTTGGTATATTTGGAAGTCTTGTCTGCTGATGTCCTGAGTCAGAATGTAATACGGATTGACAGAATTTTGTCTTTTAGATTCTTGTTTTTTAGTATGAGGATGAAGTTCCCATTGGATAATACCTGATGTGTTCAACTTTGGATTATAGTTGCATATGTTTTTTTCAGGTATCAGAATTGAAGAGAATAAATAAGATCTTCCAAGAGAACGAATTCTTTGCCCTAAACTCTTTGAAGATTCCGGTGAAACCCAACTCCGTTTTGGCGGAGATGCTCGACGAAGAGAACAGGCAGAGGCAGGAGAATGTTGCCAGTACTCGAGCTGCAGTCTTGGGCACAAGGAGTGTCAGCAGCTGCAGTGAGTGTGAGAGTGACTCTGAGATGCATGTAGGCTACATTAGCATCAACCGCATCCTGAAAGACACGCGCACCAAGAAGGATGCCAAGAGGTTCCTGGACAACATGAAGCGAGACCTGGCCCAGATCCGCGAGAAGACCAGCACATACAAGGAGTCTCTGGATGAAGCTGCAGCCACACTCACTGACCTGCGGTTTCGCCCCCTAGAGCAGTCAGACAAGTGTGAGGGGGCCGACTGGGGCATCAGCTGGTGGAAGATGATGGTGGGAGCAGTCATCCTCCTGATTGGGATTCCTTTGCTCTTCTTCTGGTACGAGAGTCACAGTAGCTAGGGCTTTGCTGATGGACTGAGAAGGAGCAGGTGAGGGAGAGAGGACTTTGAAGAACTCAGGAGCACTGAGGAGCTTAGCAGAGTAAGCTACTCATCAAATATATTAGAAACTTTCTTTTCTGGACTCTCCCTTTTCTTGCTCCTCCAGAATATTGATTTATCTCCAGTGTTTACCTTTTCGAGGAACAAACAGGTTTATAATTTGTGCATCCATGAAACAAAGGGAAACCGTAGTGTGATCTTTGTTGTGTATTACATGGTCTACAAATGGAACTAGCTAATTATTTCAGCAAATCTTATTCCACTTTGTGTTCGAGTTTGATTCAAGATGAATTGTATGTTTGGAGGAAGTGATAGCTATGTTTTTTTGTTTTTTTGTTTTTTTTTGTGCATTATTGGAGGTGCATTTATTCATCGCAGTTGTTATTGTTATATCTCCCACCACATTTATTACGTACTGTAAATCTTTTCATGAACAGACTTCCAAAATACTTTTAAACTAAACCAGTGATACAAGTCCCTTAATTGACTATTGCATCAGATTATTCAATTTAATGTTGATGCCAAAGTGCAAATTGCTGCCAGATGAATTGAAATTGATGACTGCTTGTGTGAGTAGGAGAAATGAGATTATAGAAACCAAGTTGAATGTGATATTTTTCTGTAGCTTTCTATATTATGAGAAAATATGACTCGGTGAGTTCTAGTTTTGATATTGTGAATTTTATTTACAAATTCCAGAACATCAGTAATGGTGAATGTTGACCTGTTGATGCCAAGATACATACCCTGTCCACCTGTATGCATACCCTGTCCAATTTGATTTTAGTTTTATTTTTTTTATGTGTAGATGCCTCCACATGTATTTGGTCATGTAGGAGGCAGTTACTAAGCATACCTGATCTCTCTTATTAACTGGAATCCTTTGATTTTGGAAGGAAAATTGTTTATTCCTCTAACTACAAGTATTGCTCGGAATGATAAGTAAAGATAATGTCAGTAATAATAATAATGATAGCAATGTAAGTAATGATAATATTATTAGAATTAAGAACACTTCCTAAAAATCCAAAGAATGGGAAAAATCAATGCAATCAGGTAGGCTTAGTGACTGACTCCTTGCAAACTAAGTGCTCATGAAGCCATTTATATGTAAACAAAATAGGCAGAACAAAACTACGGTGGACAGCTCATGTACTCAAGCACCAACTGGTAAATGACAGGACTGTTTTATAGTGCTGTTGTTATTATATATAAATAGATTTTAAAATGTTGTTATGATTATGCTTTTTCTGATAGTACTGTACTTCATGTCTAGTTATTACCGTTATTTTAGTATTAATTTTATTATTTTTTATTCACTTATTTTTTGTTTGTTATTATTAACTGTTATTTAAGAGCATTGTCTTTTAGCAGATATATTAGAGAGAGCTTTTGTTGTTAATATTACTGTTATGATTGTTATTATTATCATTATTATTATTATTGTTATTATTATTATTATTATTATTATTATTATTTTTTTTCTTAATTATTATTATTATTATTATTATTATTATTATTATTATTATTATTATTATTATTATTATTATTATTATTATTATTATTATTATCATTATTATTATTATTATCATTATTATTATTATTATCATTATTATTATTATTATTATTATTATTTTCAATTTGATTATTATTAATTAGTAATGTTGTTGGTGGTATTATGATTAACTTCACTTTTTTTCCGTTTTATGGTGGAATACATTAAGATAAGTCTTAAGATTGTCGTAGATGTCTGTTTACTTATTTATTTATTTATGTTAAGAGATGGTGCTCTGAATGTATACAAATATATTTTTTTTCTAATTATTTTTGAATTATTTTTAGCATTACTCTTGCCTTCATTGTTGTCTTATTATCTGTTGATGTTATTGTTATTAGGGCTACTGACTATCACTATTAAAACATGGTAGGGGAAAATCCACTCGAAATTATCTTTTGTGTGGATATTCTTTCTTTTTTGGGGGTTTTAGTTGGAAAATTTATTTTGAAAGTTATAATTTTCGATCCTCTATAGCCTATGGGTTTGCTTCTCAGCTCTTACAAGAAGAAGAAAAACTGAAATGCTTTTCTCTTAAAATTTAGGCCTCACTGAATATTACTCTTGATTGCAGTATTTGTGCTTGTGGATTTATCTTGATTTGTATGTGACATATAGATCTCTGCACACACACGCACATGCACACGCACACGCACACGCACACGCACACGCACACGCACACGCACACGCACACGCACACGCACACGCACACGCACACGCACACGCACACGCACACGCACACGCACACACACACACACACACACACACACACACACACACAGAACAGAACAGAACAGAACATAATTTAGTGAGAATGTAGATGTTACATACAAAGAAAAGAAAGTTATATTGGGGAAACCACCTTTTCTCTATCATATAAGACACAGATCCCAATAGTTTCCATGGGGTTCTTGTGACAAATAACATTGACACTTTTTTCTTGTAAACTATTAAAGTCTTTAAAGGCTGTTATAATACCTGTGATGTCTGGCTGAAGGTGCCAATAATGGGATAGCTTGTACATATTAGATGCATTATTGTATTATTGTAACTATATTGGTGAAAAAAATGTGCAATCATGCAAATGACATTACAGAGCAGTGCAGTATGTCATGGTTGTCATGGGGTAGACTACAGGGTCTTTTGACAATAATGGAAATAATTATATTTTATTTTATTATAAAAATAAGTTGAAATATTTTTGAAGATATACTTCTGAGCAAATGAAAGGGCTTGAATGTCAGCTTGTTTTATTACTGTTGTTATTATTATTATTATTATTGTTTTTTTTTTGTAGTAAGTATTACGAGCTTCCAGGAATCCTATCTCAAGCTGCATAAGATTTTTAATGTGCAAAAAGAAGCTCAATAAGAAGTTTGAAGTTTCACATGTAGTTTTTTATTGAGTTTGTGAAGGAAGAAACAAGAACGAAGATTTTAAAATTTGGTGCCTCTTTTGTTGAACAAAATGATGTAATAGTTGCTGTAATTCAGTAGAGGTGGCTGAATATAAGAAAAATCATAATGAATATTTTGAAGATACAGTTTTATGAAATCTTGATATTTTTCATATTGCATAAGAGGTTTTGTCAAAAATAGCTTTGTAAAATGAAAAAATGAGTATTATTTCCTTATGTACATATACAGTCAAGGAGAACAAGTTATTGATTATATAAATTGATAAAATAACAAGTTGTATGTTGCTGGGTGTTTATTATAATGCATAATAATCCTACATAAGGTTGTGTAATCTTGTTGGATGCTAGAGTATACAGAAGTCTGCAAAATCAAGTCCTTAAGGTATATGAACAATTAAAATTTGCTAATGTTAGTTCATTTGGGTTATGATAAGCAGCAAGGTTTGTTAACTGTGGTTGTTGGACTGTTTTCATTTCATAAGGGATATACATGAACAGGTGCACTCACATGTACATATACGGTCTGACCTTACTCACACGTCAAGCTTACATAACCCCTAAAAAGAAAATCTCTTGAGGTATGAGAAAAATTACAGATAGGATAACTATATAATGAATAAAATTGCAGAAGCTAATTATAGAATACTTGTAAGGTCTAAGTTTAACTTCTTACTTACTAACCTGCTCACAGTGCAAAGAAGAGGAAGGTATTTTATCCACAAAGAAAACAGTCTTCAGATTCTAGCATTATGTATGTTTATGCTCAGGAACAATCTTTCACAACAACTTCAAATGTTTTTTTTTTTTTTTCAAGACTAATAAGGAAGACCATTTGCTTGGTTGTCAGATTTGAGTCTTGGAGTTTATAATCGGAGTTCTCTTTAGTTTATCTTCTAGAACATTTTCATCCTTGGAGTTTAAACTTATCCGTTGGTATTTACTAATGTCTTCCACCTCTTTATCCTTTTTGCTCCAGCCAGTATAACCTAGGCCTTATATCCTTTTATTTATTTGAATCCTTATCAGATAGGGAAGTATTTGTGGGTTGTAATTAATCACAGGGAATGGCTGTTTCGTGCAGCATTTTTTGTAGTTTAGAGAATTTTTCCCCCCCTCCTTCCTTGACACAAAATGTGCAAGTCTTGTCATGTATATTGTGTGTGGAACCTATGAATGTAGAGAATTTTAAATTAATGTTTAGGGAAAATTAAAAACATATTTAATCCTTGGGTAGTGGTATTATACAAAATACACTTTTGTGGAATTTTGTTACCTGTTAAACTTATAATTTGGGTTCTGTATATCAAATTCTTTGATTTCATATAAGCTTAAAAAAAAAAAATGATCATTAAGAATCTTGTTTTGCAAAGAGAAGAATATATATAGAAAGAACTATGAGACATTTGTTAAAGGAATTATAGCTGGGATTCTTTTAGTTAACCCAATGATGACGGGTGAAGAAAACAAAAAAAAACTCTACACTCTGGCAAACAATGGCGGTGCGCTGATGTTGAGCGTGTGATTTCGGTACATCAGCCCAAATCACTGGCTCGCTTTGGTGCGCTGCTGCGGCGTACAGCCGCACGCCACTTTTTGAGCGATTTGTTTTCACGCCTATCGGTGTCACCCGTCGGGAAGGGGATTAAGCTGTCATGTAATTTCACACATGGGACCAAATAGATACCTGCTGAGACTTGCATTTTATTAATAAATTATTTTACCTTCAGCAACCAACTCCTCTTTTATGTCCATGCATCTAGCTATCTATATCACTACTAATTATTCTTCAGAAAGTGAGTGTGAGTGTGAGTGTGAGTGCGAGTGAGAGTGAGAGTGAGAATGTGCATGCGTGCGTGCTGATAATTGCTTATATTTAACCCTTCCTTTTCAACTAAGGAGAACCAAGTGCCTTGTAATGTATTGTAAATGCAGGATTTTTATGGGTTTGGTGTTGGAGTGAACTTTTAAGTATTTCTACTGTAAAATGTAGTCAGTAGACATGAGTAAATTGTGTAATATTAAGGAAAGTATATATTTTGTAAATAAATGTAAGTTCTTGAATGCTTTTGTATTATTTACCTATATTAACCCATTCACCATGGATATATGCAGAGCCAGATTATCTTATAGGCTAGTATAGGCTGCAGCCTAGGGCCCCTCAAGCTTGGGGAGGGGCTTGGTTATAAAAAATCTGTTTTTTTTTCACTACGGTTGTGTTGAAATATAGTAAAATAGTGGTATTTAAAGAATATTTTTATTGACAAACAAAAGATAGCTATGCTAGTTTATTTAAAGAATTTGCTATAAGTTTACTTCAAGCTATGTAAATGTCGCTAAAATATATCACAAGTAAAAAATATTCTGAGGGGGCACATACTTTCATTAGCCTAGGGGCCCCAAAAGGTCATAATCCGGCCCTGGATATATGTAATGTCCCCTTGGTTTTTTGAGAAATTTGTTACATAGAGATAGCTTCACATGTGCTCAGCCAGCAAGGGGTCTAGTGCCTAGTGACTGATACTGATTGGAGGGAAAATGTGTTTTTCTTTCTAATACTATTGATATCAATACTGTTATTATGATTATTAAATTGTTATTAAAATCTTGATAAAATCTTGGTATTATTATGAAATAATACAAAAGACATTTTCCAAAAATCAACGAAAAGGGTAAACAGGTGAGATAGGTAGAACCAATGACTTGGTGACTATGCACTTGTAGAGCCATCGATGTAAAGATAATAAATGAACTTATATATCAGTAGGCAGGCTGGCATCCTTGCCATCTGTGCTGATTGGTTAAGATATTTTTTATCACATTGTTTTCTTTGAAGGTAAATTTTCAAGTTAATTTACACAAACATTATGTCTGATATTAGAATAAGTAAAGAAAGCAGTTAAAGATTATGTTTTCCGTGTTCTGTAAGTGATTTATGAAAGCTACACACACATCAAAGAGCACTTTTATATGTAGGACATCTGCCAGCATGTGGGACTCAAAGCAAGAAAAAAATATGTACAAAAATATTTGAAAAGGAAAACACACATCTTATCTCAGTTTATTTATACTGACTCTTCAGTATTACAGTGTCAACCTTCCATATCGTCATCTTTCTCCCCTTCCTTATCACCATCGTCATCATCATCATCCTCATCTCCCTCCTCATCTACCTCTTCTGTGTCTTCATCCATGGTCTCATCTTCTGTTGGTGCGGCAGAGGAAGGCTCTGGCTCGAGTATGCTCGTTAAATTATCCTCGAGGTCTTTTCTCTTGTACTTTCGCAGCTTGAGGTTTGATAGGAACCTCAGTTCTCCTGACCATGACTTGAAAGTTTGCAAGTTCTTTGGGCAGAAGAAGTTAACTGTTTCTGGTGGGTGGAGAGAGACAGGTGAGCACAGGGACTAGGTTTGTAATTAGGTTGTCCTTACTTTTACAACACCACTCACCCGCCTGCTTTCTCTCTCTAGCACTTGCTCTCGTCTGCTCTCTCTCTAGCTCTCGCACTCTCTTTCCTCTCTAGCTCTTGCACTCTCACTCTCACTCACTCTCTCTCTCTCTCTATCTCTATATATATATATATATATATATATATATATATATATATATATATATATATATATATATATATATATATATAATATATTGCTCTTTTCTATCTCTATCTCTCTCTCTGTGTGTGTGTGTGTGTGTGTGTGTGTGTGTGTGTGTGTGTGTGTGTGTGTGTGTGTGTGTGTCACTGTGTGTGTGTGTCACTGTGTGTGTGTGTCACTGTGTGCGTGTGTCACTGTGTGCGTGTGTCACTGTGTGCGTGTGTCACTGTGTGCGTGTGTCACTGTGTGCGTGTGTCACTGTGTGCGTGTGTCACTGTGTGCGTGTGTCACTGTGTGCGTGTGTCACTGTGTGCGTGTGTCACTGTGTGCGTGTGTCACTGTGTGCGTGTGTCACTGTGTGCGTGTGTCACTGTGTGCGTGTGTCACTGTGTGCGTGTGTCACTGTGTGCGTGTGTCACTGTGTGCGTGTGTCACTGTGTGCGTGTGTCACTGTGTGCGTGTGTCACTGTGTGCGTGTGTCACTGTGTGCGTGTGTCACTGTGTGCGTGTGTCACTGTGTGCGTGTGTCACTGTGTGCGTGTGTCACTGTGTGCGTGTGTCACTGTGTGCGTGTGTCACTGTGTGCGTGTGTCACTGTGTGCGTGTGTCACTGTGTGCGTGTGTCACTGTGTGCGTGTGTCACTGTGTGCGTGTGTCACTGTGTGCGTGTGTCACTGTGTGGGTGTGTCACTGTGTGTGTGTGTCACTGTGTGTGTGTGTCACTGTGTGTGTGTGTCACTGTGTGTGTGTGTCACTGTGTGTGTGTGTCACTGTGTGTGTGTGTCACTGTGTGTGTCACTGTGTGTGTGTGTCACTGTGTGTGTGTGTCACTGTGTTTGTGTGTCACTGTGTTTGTGTGTCACTGTGTGTGTGTGTCACTGTGTGTGTGTGTCACTGTGTGTGTGTGTCACTGTGTGTGTGTGTCACTGTGTGTGTGTGTCACTGTGTGTGTGTGTCACTGTGTGTGTGTGTCACTGTGTGTGTGTGTCACTGTGTGTGTGTGTCACTGTGTGTGTGTCACTGTGTGTGTGTCACTGTGTGTGTGTCACTGTGTGTGTGTCACTGTGTGTGTGTCAGTGTGTGTGTGTCACTGTGTGTGTGTGTGTCACTGTGTGTGTGTGTCACTGTGTGTGTGTGTGTGTGTGTCACTGTGTGTGTGTGTGTGTGTGTCACTGTGTGTGTGTGTGTGTGTGTCACTGTGTGTGTGTGTGTGTGTCACTCTGTGTGTGTGTGTGTGTGTGTGTGTGTGTGTGTGTGTGTGTGTGTGTGTGTGTGTGTGTGTGTGTGTGTGTGTGTGTGTGTGTGTGTGTGTGTCACTGTGTGTGTGTGTGTGTGTCACTGTGTGTGTGTGTGTGTGTGTGTGTGTCACTGTGTGTGTGTGTGTGTCACTGTGTGTGTGTGTGTGTGTGTGTGTCACTGTGTGTGTGTGTGTGTGTCACTGTGTGTGTGTGTGTGTGTCACTGTGTGTGTGTGTGTGTGTCACTGTGTGTGTGTGTGTGTGTCACTGTGTGTGTGTGTGTGTGTCACTGTGTGTGTGTGTGTGTGTCACTGTGTGTGTGTCACTGTGTGTGTGTGTGTGTGTCACTGTGTGTGTGTGTGTGTGTCACTGTCTGTGTATCTGTGTGTCCCTCTCCCTAGCTCTTTTTGTTTGTTTGTCTATAGCTATCTTGCCTACCTGCCTTTGACTACTTGTTTATCTCCCTCCCTTCCCTACTACTTATACTTTCATATAGTACATGTTACAAAACTAAAATAAAATAGAGCCCATCTTAGTTTATTTCTAAGACCAAAATTCTTACCAAAGCCATTATCTCTGAACAGCGCTGTCTCTTGCTCGTGCACAATCTTTATCGTGGACTCGCGGCTGGCATGCTGGGTTTTGTTTCTTTTCCCAATACTGTTCTTTAAGTTGATTTGTTCAAGTTCTTCCATGTTGCGGTCAATGTATCTGGAATTATGGATTGGTAATTACTAATTACTAGCACACAATTATAATTTTATAATTGTGTGCTAAGCAGACCATATGAAGCAAACCAGAAAGACTGATATAGATAGACATTAATAGACATACAGACAAACAGGTAGATAGATGTAGACAGAAAGACCGATAAATACTAATCAACTTATACATACATTAATACATGTATGCATATATACATGTATGTATTATATACCCAAATTACAAAGTACACTTCCCTATGGTCATGTTAAAAATTGGGAAGAAATATTACGTAAATATGCACTTTTGAAAGGAAATAAAAAACCATTCCTGAAGTTTCTCATCTTGCTTAAGTCAAAATTCTAAAATTATAGAATGATGCCCATTTCCTACTTTTTTTGGGGGTGGGGTGGGGGATGGGAGGGGGTGAGGGGGCAGATGGAAACCTCTGAAATTAATATACAGATGAGCTGGTTCTGATTATAAACCTTCAACACAAACTGTGAAGAAAAAAATTAGTGAAAGAAACAATCACCAATCAGCCTCTTAGTTATTGATGAAGACTCTGACCTTTACACAGATATGAAATAAAGTGACCATTGTCAAAGAACTATAATAATGTGAAAAAAGTAAGCTGCATAATGATGCAGTAGGGTGGTCAGGCCATTTCTGCACCAACTTCACCTGCAGCAGGTCCTTGCTATTGCAAAGCCAATGCTCTATCATTGAGCTATGCCATCTCTGTGCACAATCCCTATATTTATCCAAACAGGTTGATTCAAAATTAGTCTTTATTTCATCTGTTAATCTGAAGAGGGAAGGTATGGTGTGTGGTGTGGGATTTCCCTTCATTGTATGCTAAAAGTATATTTACACAATGGCATGGGTAACAATCTTTTATGTGCTATGGAGGAAAAAAAACTAGCATGTAGAGGGAAGGTTAGTGGATAAAGTATTACAATGCTGTTCCATATGCACTGAACAAAATATCTTAAAATACTTGTACTAATGATAAAAAAATTACATTATTCTTTTTCTTATTCAAACAACAATAAGTAAGGTGTATGTGTGTGGGGGGGAGGATTAAGTACTATTTTTTCTGAGAGGAATTACAAAAAAAAATTCATAATAAATATTAGTTCTTACTCCTAAAACATTGCTACATTAAAAGATACTTCTCTTACTTCTGTATCATATTCAAAACATCCTTTGAAGTGAACACCTCTATACTTGGATCCATTTCTTTCTTGAACCACAGCAATTTGTCGCCCAGAACTTGCAGCTTCAAGTTATTCTCACCTCTTCTCTTCTTCATTTTGATTTCTCTGTAGATGCATAAAACAGTAAGAAAATGAGTGAGAAAGAATGGGAGAAAAGTATTAAATAATATTGGGACTTTCAAACATCTATGTTGTCTTTTGACTATATTAATGTCATACTGATGAAATCCTGTGAATATCTAATGCTTCCAGAGTTAACCCATGCAAACAAAGATTTTGAATGAGCAGCATACCATCACAACAAAGGTACTT